GCCACACGAGAAAAACACAGGAGAAAAGAGGCCCCCCCGAAGAAGCACAGCCAAACCTTCCCTGCTCGGAGCTCCTGCGCCTCCAGCTCGTACACGCCGTAGGGGCAGGGCTCGACGTTGCGGCGGCTGCCCTGCTCCTTGCAGCCGCCCATCGCCGGCGTGCGGTAGGGGCAGAGCCTTCGGTCGGGCGTGTCCCCCTGCAGGCGGATCTTGGAGGAGAGATATGCGAGATACGCGAAACTAGCCAGAGGATGCCCAAAAATACCCCACAAAAAACATCGCCCTCTGACGAGGTTCAACCTATCTTTGAATCTTCCTCCTGTAGAGGGACAGGCGGATTTTGGAGGAGAAATACGAGATACGCCAAACGATCCAGAGGATGCCCAAGAATACCCACCAACAAAAACATCGCCCCTGACGAGGTTCAACCCATGTTTGAATCTTCCTCCTGTAGAGGGACAGGCCCGATGTATTGAGCAAGGACGACCGTCCTGGCATTCCTATAGTCCTACCACGACATGTTCTTAGAACCCCAACATGTTCGAATAACAAAAACGACGTTCTTAGAACATAAACCCCACATGTTAAAACAAGACAATCTCCGCCAGACATGTTCCAAGAACATCACGTTGGAACCACAAGAGGTTCTTAGAACATTCTCTGGTGGGGCTATAGGCGAGCCAGGACGCTTCGCCACTGACGAGGTTCAACCTATGTTCCCCCCCCCCAAAAAAAATACCCCCAAAATACCGAAAAAATACCCCAAAAAGATACCCCCCAAAATACCCCCAACAAAATACCCCAACAAAAAATCGCCCCCTGACGAGGTTCAGCCTATCCTTTGAGCCCTCCCCCTGTAGGGGGACGGCCCCGAGGTGTCCGCAGGGAGCCGGTGCGCGGCGCGCGGCAGCGCCTCCCCGGGCCGGGGGGCCGTGGGGGCCAGCGCCACGCGGTAGCCCGCCGCGGCGAGGCGCAGCGCGCGGTGCAGGGCGGCCTGCGCGCGGCGGGCGAAAGGGGGGGGATAGCAAAGGGGGGGTTTGAGAATCAGCTCACGTCGCTGATTTTCCCGGCGCCTCCCGGCGCCGGGAGGCGGCCATGTATCGAGGAATGGGCCCCTCGGCGGGGCCGAAACCAGCTGCATGCAGCAGATTTCGTAACCCCCCCTTTCCCAGTCCCCCCCTTTCGCCCGGCCCGAGCGGTGCAGGGCGGCCTGCGCGCGGCGGTCGAGGCCCAGGCGCATCACGGGCGGCGCGCCGTGGCCGGCGTAGAGGTTGGAGGGGGGGCCAGAGAGGCGAGAGCCCTATACACCCCCTACCTGCCCCCTAGCGAGCAGGAGGAGGAGGATGAGGAGGCGGATGAGGAGGAGGAGCAGGAGGAGGGGGAAGAGGAGGAGGAGGAGGAGCAGGAGGAGGGAGGAGGAGGAGGAGGAGGGGGAGGAGGAGGAGGAGGAGGAGGAGGAGGAGGAGGGGTTCACTTCGTCCAGCCCTATACCCCATGTGCCCCCCACAACTTTTCCGAGGGTGAGGGTGGGGTTCCCTTCGCCCAGCCCTATACCCCTCTACCCCCCACGTCTGAGGGGGGAGGGCGGGGTTCACCTCGTCCGGGAAAGCTCCCGAGCGAAGTGAAGCCCAGCCTCCCCCGCAGAAATCGTGGGGGGCAGGGGTATATAGGGCTCGCATCTAGCCCCCTGCTGGACCCCGGGAAGATGAACTGGAAGACGAAGGGGGCGCTGGGCACGAAGAGCAGCATCTCCAGGGCGTAGAGGTCCTCGTGGGCGGGGAGGGAGAAGCCTCTCCGTCGATCTCCGCGGCCCCTCCGCCCCTTTCCGCCTCCTCCGCCTCCTCCTGAGCCTCCTCCTCCTCCTCCTCCTCCTCCTCCTCCTCCTCCTCCTCCTCCTCCTCCTCCCTCGAGGGCCATGCCCCCCAATGGACCGCGGCCCCCCGCGGAGATGGGGGGGCGCCTGTCGTTTCGCCCCAAGGCCCGCGCGGAGCGTACCCGTGCGACCGCGGGCCCGCGGGATCGCACCCGGGAGTCCAGGCCGGCGAGGACGCGGGCACGGATAGCTTCGCCGCCCGCGAGGTCCGCCGTGCGGATGAGGTGCACGTTGTGGGGGAGCAGCACGACCGCCCGGTAGCGGCCGATCTCGTCCCAGCTCAGGGACTCGTGGTGGTTCATGTTGAGGAACTGCACCGGCGAGGCCGCACGGCGAGCACCCAGGACCAGTGCCTGCAGGAAGAGATGGGCAAGGAAGGGGAACTTGATGCGGAAGAGCAGAGCCACAGGGTCTGCTATCCTGTCGGCCGCGGGAGCCAGGTGCAGCCCCGCAAAGTGCGCCAGCGGGAGCTGCACCCCGACCTGCCAGAAGACCTGCTCCATGGCCGGGTGTTGCAAGAAGTGCCCCTGGCCCAAGGTGCCCGCAGGAGTTCCATGGAGGGCCCCCACGGCCTCCAGAGCACCCCTCACGAAATTCAGAGGGCCCCAGGGGGTCCAAAAATTGAATGAGAAGCTGGGGTCGCCTTGGGCCAGGGGCACCGTTATCAACCCCCGACATGGTGATGCGGTTCGCCACCGCTACGTAGTTCTCGGGCCGCTTGAGCATCAGAAGGAAGTCCAGCATGAACCGCGCGACCTTCTCCCTGGCGTCCAGCACTGGCAGCTCGCCGACGGGCTGGCTGGAAGAAGAAAGACCCCAAAAGCATAAACTCAAGAAGATCCGGCCGGATCTCTTGGACAGTATGGTTCTGGTGGTGGTTTTGGTTTTGGTTTTGGTTCCGGTTCTGGTTCCGGTTCCGGTTTGGGTTCCGGTTTTGGTTTTGGTTCCGGTTCCGGTTCCGGTTCCGGTTCTGGTTCCGGTTCCGGTTCCGGTTCCGGTTTTGGTTCCGGTTTCCTTCTTTTTGCGGGGCTGGAAAAGGCCCCTTTGGTGATGGTTCCGGTTCTGGTTCTGGTTCTGGTTTCCTTTTTCTTCCAGGCCTGAAAAAGACTTTCAGGTTTTGGTTTTGGTTCCGGTTCCGGTTCCGGTTCCGGTTTCCTTCTTCTTCGGGGTTTTGAAGAGCACCCTCCAGGTAACGGTTCTGGTTCTGGTTTTGGTTCCGGTTCTGGTTCCGGTTTCCTTTTTCTTTTCGCCTCAAAGAAGACCACCCTGGTCACGGTTCCGGTTTCGGTTCCTGTTCCGGTTTCCTTCTTCTCTTGGCCTCGAAGAAGACCCCCCAGGTCACGGTTCCGGTTTTGGTTCCGGTTCCGGTTCGGGTTCCCTTCTTCTCTTGGCCTCGAAGAAAGACTCCCTGGTCACGGTTTCGGTTTTGGTTCCGGTTCCGGTTCTGGTTTCCTTCTTCTTCTCTCCCCGAGGAAGGCCCCCCAGGTCACGGTTTCGGTTTTGGTTCCGGTTCCGGTTCTGGTTTTTTTCTTCTCTTGGTTCGAAGAAGACCCCTTTGGTCACGGTTTCGGTTCTGGTTTCGGTTCCGGTTCCGGTTCCGGTTTCCTTCTTCTTCTGTCTTCGAAGAAGACCCCCCAGGTCACGGTTCCGGTTTTGGTTCCGGTTCCGGTTCGGGTTCCCTTCTTCTCTTGGTTCGAAGAAGACCCTTTTGGTCACGGTTCCGGTTTTGGTTTCGGTTCCGGTTCCGGTTTCCTTCTTCTTCTGTCTTCGAAGAAGACCCCCCAGGTCACGGTTCCGGTTTTGGTTCCGGTTCCGGTTCCGGTTTCCTCCAAAACCAAAGCCACACTCAGTATTCAACAGCCTCCATCTCCAAGACAGCGCTCTGTATTCAACAGACCCCGTGTCCAAGAAGGCACCCAGTATTCAACAGACCCCGCTGCCAAAGAGCACCCACTAGAGGTCTATGTAAAAGCCCGGCCCGCCCGCCCCCCGCCCGCCTGCCCGCCCGACCGCCCGCGTCTGCCTCCAAGAGAGCACCCGCTACTCAACAGACTCCGTCTCCAAGAGAACACCCGCGTTTCAAACAACCTCCGTCTCCAAGACAGCACCCGGTATTCATCAGACTCCGTGGCCAAGAGAGCGCCAAGTACTCAACAGACTCCGTGTCTGTTTCTGTTTCCAAAAGAGCACGCACTAGTCCATTGGCTCCGTCTCAAAGAGAGCACCCGCTACTCAAACAACTCTCGTCTCCAAGACAGCACCCGGTATTCATCAGACTCCGTGTCCAAGAAAGCACCCACTATTCAACTGACTCCGTGTGTATTCGACAGACTCCGTGTCCAAGAAGGCACCCAGTTCTCAACAGACCCCGTTGCCAGAGAGCATTCGTTAGAGGTCTATTTGGAAACCCGACCCGCCCACCCGCCCCCCGCCCGCCCGCCCGACCGCCCGCTTCTGTCTCAAGAGAGCACCCATTACTCAACAGACTCCGTTTCCAAGAGAGCAGCCACTATCCAACAGCTCCCGTTTCCAAGGCAGCACCCAATATTCAACAGACCCCGTGTCCAAGGGAGCACCCAGTATTTACAAGCCTCCGTCTCCAAGACAACACCCAGTACTCAACAGACCCCGTGTCCAAGAGAACACCCGCGTTTCAAACAACCTCCGTCTCCAAGACAGCACCCGGTATTCATCAGACTCCGTGGCCAAGAGAGCGCCAAGTACTCAACAGACTCCGTGTGTACTCACCAGATTCCGTGTCCAAGAAGGCACCCAGTACTCATTAGACCCCGCTGCCAGAGAGCACCCACTAGAGGTGTATTTAAAAACCGCCCGCTTTTGTTTCCAAGAGAGCACCCGCTACTCAACTGACTCCGTCCCAAAGAGAGCACCCGCTACTCAGACAACCTCCGTCTCAAAGACAGCACTTGGTATTCAGCAGACTCCGTGTCCAAGAGAGCACCCAGTACTCAACAAGCTCCGTGTCCAAGACAGCACCCAGTACTCCAAAGACCCCGTGTCCAAGAAGGCACCCAGTACTCAACTGACCCCGCTGCCAGAGAGCACCCACTAGAGGTCTAGTTTAAAAACCCGACCCGCCCGCCCGCCCCCCGCCCGCCCGCCCGCCCGCCCGACCGCCCGCCTCTGTCTCCAAGAGAGCACCCATTACTCAGCAGACTCCGTTTCAAAGAGAGCAGCCACTACTCAACAGCTCCCGTCTCCAAGGCAGCACCCAGTATTCAACAGACTCCGTGTCCAAGGGGGCGCCCAGTATTCAACAGGTTCCGTCTCCAAGACAGCGCCCAATACTCAACAGCTTCCGCGTCCAAGAATGCACCCAGTACTCAACAGACCCCGCTGCCAGAAAGCACGCGCTAGAGGTTTGTTCTTAAAAAGCGCGACCCGCCCGCCCCCCGCCCGCCCGCCCGCCCGTCCGTTTCTGTTTCCCAAAAAAGCACCCACTGGTCCATTGGCTCCGTCTCAAAGAGAGCACCCGCTACTCAAACAACTCTCGTCTCCAAGACAGCACCCGTAACAGACTCCGTGTCCAAGAAGGCACCCAGTTCTCAACACACCCCGTTGCCAGAGAGCATTCGTTAGAGGTCTATTTGGAAACCCGACCCGCCCACCCGCCCCCCGCCCGACCGCCCCACCGCCCGCTTCTGTCTCCAAGAGAGCACCCATTACTCAACAGACTCCGTTTCCAAGAGAGCAGCCACTATTCAACAGCTTCCGTTTCCAAGGCAGCACCCAATATTCAACAGACTCCGTGTCCAAGGGAGCACCCAGTATTTACAAGCCTCCGTCTCCAAGACAACACCCAGTACTCAACAGACCCCGTGTCCGAGAGAACACCCGCGTTTCAAACAACCTCCGTCTCCAAGACAGCACCCGGTATTCATCAGACTCCGTGGCCAAGAGAGCGCCAAGTACTCAACAGACTCCGTGTGTACTCACCAGATTCCGTGTCCCAGAAGGCACCCAGTACTCATTAGATCCCGCTGCCAGAGAGCACCCACTAGAGGTGTATTAAAAAACCGCCCAAGGATGCGCCCAATATTCAACAGACTCTGTGTCAAAGGGAGCACACAGGCTCAACTGATTCCGTTCCCAAAACTGCACTTTGTACTCAACAGATTCCGTGTCCAACAAGGCACCCAGTACTCAACAGACCCCGCTGCCAGAGAGCACCCACTAGAGGTCTTTCATCAAAACCCGACCCGCCCGCCCGCCCCCCGCCCGACCGCCCGCCTCCGTCTCCAAAAAAACACCCACTACTGAACAGGCTCCGTCTCCAAGAGAGCAGCCACTACTCAATAGATCCCGTGCCCAAAAGAACTTCGTATTCATCAGACTCCGTGTCCAAGAGAGCACGCAATACTCAACAAGATCCGTGTCCAAGACAACACCCAGTACTCAACAGACTCCGTGTCCAACAAGGCACCCAGTACTCAGCAGACCCCGTTGCCAGAGAACACTCACTAGAGGTATAGTTAAAAAGCCCGTTCCGCCCGCCCGCCCCCCGCCCGCCCGCCCGACCGCTCGCTTGTGTCTCCAAATGAGCACCCATTACTCAACACACTCCGTTTCCAAGAGAGCAGCCACTGAGGGTTCCGTTTCCATTTCAACAACTCCCGTCTCCAAGGCAGCACCCGGTATTCAACAGATTCCGTGTCCAAAGGAGCACCCAGTATTCAACAGCCTCCATCTCCAAGACAGCGCTCTGTATTCAACAGACCCCGTGTCCAAGAAGGCACCCAGTATTCAACAGACCCCGCTGCCAGAGAGCACCCACTAGAGGTCTATGTAAAAGCCCGGTCCGCCCGCCCCCCGCCCGCCTGCCCGCCCGACCGCCCGCGTCTGTCTCCAAGGGAGCACCCGCTACTCAACAGACTCCGTCTCCAAGAGAGCACCCGCGTCTCAAACAACCTCCATCTCCAAGACAGCACCCGGTATTCATCAGACTCCGTGGCCAAGAGAGCGCATACCTCACAGACTGCCGTGTGTACTCACCAACTCCGTGTCCAAGAAGGCAACCAGTACTCAAGGACCGTGCCAGAGAGTCACGCCCACTAGAGGTGTAGTTGAAACCGCCCGCTTTTTGTTTCCAAGAGATCACGCCGCTATCAACTGAACTCCGTCACAAAGAGAGCACCCGCAAAGAGAGCACCCTCTACTCAGACAACCTCCGTCCGTCTCCAAGACCACTTGGCAATTCACAGACTCGTGTCCAGAGACACCCAGTACTCAACAGGTCCGTCTCCAAGAACAACACCGTACTCAACAAACCGTGTCCAAGAAGGCACCCAGTACTCAACAGACCCCGCTGCCAGAGAGCACCCACTAGAGGTCTAGTTTAAAAACCCGACCCGCCCGCCCGCCACCCGCCCGCCCGCCCGCCCGACCGCCCGCCTCTGTCTCCAAGAGAGCACCCACTACTCAACAGACTCCGTTTCAAAGAGAGCAGCCACTACTCAACAGCTCCCGTCTCCAAGGCAGCACCCAGTATTCAACAGACTCCGTGTCCAACACACCCCGTTGCCAGAGAGCAATCGTTAGAGGTCTATTTGGAAACCCGACCCGCCACGCCGCCCCCCCGCCCGCCCCGCCACCACCCGCCTCTGTCTCCAAGAGAGCACCCATTACTCAACAGACTCCGTTTCAAAGAGAGCAGCCACTACTCAACAGCTCCCGTCTCCAAGGCAGCACCCAGTATTCAACAGACTCCGTATCCAAGGGAGCACCCAGTATTCAACAGGTTCCGTCTCCAAAACAGCGCCCAGTACTCAACAGCT